AGCGTGGCGGACTCGGGCCAATTTGCCACACCCCTCATGAGGATCGTGGCCACATATGGGGGTTCCACTTAAGTCCCCAGTGGCAGGGTCGCATTGTGGAATCGGGCCAGTTCGGCACACCCCTCACGAGGATCGTGGACCGATAGGAAGCTCCACCGAAGGCCTCAGAGTGGCAGGGTCCACAAGGCGGACCCGTGCCAGTTCGGCGCACCCCTCACGAGGATCGTTGCCCCTTGGGCAGCTCTGCCGAAGGCCACATTGGCATGACCCGCATGGCGGACCCGGGCCAGTTCTGCACACCCCTCACGCGGATCGAGGCCCCACAGGAGGGTTCCACCGAAAGCATCAGTGGCATTGGCGGACTCGGGCCAGTTCGGCACATAAAGAGCTCCACCGAAGTCCCCAGTGGCAGGGTCCGCATGGCGGACTCGGGCCAGTTCGACACACCCCTCACGAGGGTCGTGGCCCGATAAGGAGCTCCACCGAAGACCTCAGTGGCAGGGTCCTCATGGCAGACTCGGGCCAGTTCGGCGCACCCCTCACGAGGACCGTGGCCCCATAGGAAGCTCCACCGAAGTCCCCAGTGGTGGAGTTCGCATGCCTTTTGCTTGTCCCCCTTCCTCGTCTCACATGCCTCGCGATACTCGCAGCTGCATATGGTTGGGTCCTTCGTCAGGATAGTTTCTTTGGTTTTCCTGTAGGATTGGCACCAGGTGGTGGAGGATTCGGAGGAGCAGGCGGATTGATGAAGTATCGACGGAGGAGCGATGGTGGAGGAGGGGTGAGGAGGAATTAGCAGCAGGAGGAGAGAGGCGGCAGGTGAAAGAGGAATGGCAGACGAGGCGGGGATGGAGGAGGAGTAGGAGGAGGAGAAGGAGGAGAAGGAGGAGGCATTATGCAAACCCAAGACGCATCAACGATGTTGCAATAAAGTCTCCTTCCACGTTTCCTCTTCATATTTCCCTATTGCGGGAAGTGGCCCATTGAAAGACAACCGTCTGAGAACCCTTAGTTGTGCCAGCACATCGTTCCAGGGACTTCAGCGCCGCGGACCAATTTGATTATTGCGTTCTAACAATCCTAAAACGTGACAGAACACCATTCCTGGGACCTCACCACCGCGCATTAATGTGAGGGTTGATTCCTGACAATTTCAAATCGTACCACGTCATAATTCCTGGGACTTCAAGTCTACGAATCCTTGAAGCAGTTGCTGGCTTTGAGACGAATGCGCGCGGCGCTAGGGCGAGAGCCACAGTTTGAGAATGAACTGCCCCCATCCTTGAAGCTGTTGCAAGCTTTGAAGACGAGTTTTCGCGGCGCTGATGCGAGTGCCACGTTTTGAAAACCACCCCCCATCCATCCTCGAACCCGTTGCAACCTTTGAAGACGAATGTGCGTGGCGCTAAGACTTGACCTACATGTTGAAAAGGAACCGCCTTCCATCCTTGATGCTGTTGCAAGCTTTCAAGAAGAATGTGCGCTGTGCCAGGAGAGAGCTATATTTTGAATATGGCTCGCCCTCCATCCTTGAAGCTGTTGCAAGGTTAAGACTTCAGGGCCATAAATGGTGAGGACGTTTATGGCGAAACGCCCGGCCCGCATAACCGACACGCCTGGGGGATGCGACAGTGGGAAGGCATTTAATATAAGGAACAAAGATGGGGAATTCGGATGTGTAACAGTGATACTAGTAATAGTAGTAGTAGTAGTAGTAGTAGTAGTAGTAGTAGTAGTAGTAGTAGTAATAGTAGTAGTAGTAGTCGTCGTCGTCGTCGTCGTCGTCGTAGTAGTAGTAGTAGTAGTAGTCGTAGTAGTAGTAGTAGTAGTCGTCGTCGTCGTCGTCGTCGTCGTCGTCGTCGTCGTCGTAGTAGTAGAGTAGTAGTAGAGTAGTAGTCGTAGTATCGTTCAAGTAGTAGTAGTAGTCGTAGTAGTAGTAGTAGTAGTAGTTTTGGTAGTAGTAGTAGGTAGTAGTATTATTATTAGTAGTAGTGTAGTAGTGGTATAGTTGTAAGTAGTGGGTATTATAGGTAGTAGTTAGTAGTGGTGAGTAGTAGTAGTAGTAGTAGTAGTAGTAGTAGTCGTAGTAGTAGTAGTAGTAGTAGTAGTAGTAGTAGTCTTATCAGTAATACTAATGTCAGTAGTACCAGTACTCGTAGTAATAGTAGTAGTAGTAGTAGTAGTAGTAGTAGTAGTCGTTATAGTACTAGTCGTAGTCGTAGCAGCAGTAGTAGTAGTAGTAGTAGTGGTAGTAGTCGTAGTAGTAGTAGTAGTAGTAGTAGTAGTAGTAGTAGTAGTAGTAGTAGTAGTAGTGGTAGCTGTCGTAGTAGTAGTAGTAGTAGTAGTAGTACTAGTAGTAGTAGTAGTAGTAGTAGTAGTAGTAGCAGTAGTTGTAGAGGTAGTCGTAGTTGTAGTCGTCGTCGTAGTAGAAGTAGTTGTAGTGGTAGTACAATGTGTAGTAGTAGTAGTAGTAGTAGTAGTAGTAGTAGTAGTAGAAGTA